GTATATGTGTTCTGTTTGTCTTTAAAGAAGGACTGTGTGTGTGTGTGTGTGTGTGTGTGTGTGTGTGTGTGAATTAATACTCAGGGAGGGGTGAGCTTCTATAGAAAGTCAAGTGTTTGAATGCTTTTAAACAGTAGAAAACTCAACATTAATTTATATGTGTCTGAGTGATCAATTTTAGAAGCTTAGCATTTTCCCCCCGACCAATTAACATTCTATAAGGATATGATGTTGGCCTATCATCTTATTTGAAAGTACAAATTATATACAGATTAGTTGAACTTTTGATTTTCTAGAGTTTGGAGTGCTTTGTTAATGTTGCTACTGACATTTACCAAGTAAGAGCGACATCAAGCGAGCCAGGGCTTACCTGGGAGGCAAGAGAATGTCTGTCATGCTTTAACACAGTCTGAAGACCTCTTCGCTTTGGGAGATAGTTGAGAAAGGACTTGTTCTCTCTCCCACCTAACTGAAATCTTCCTGCACCTGGAGCCCAGTTGGGCTAAGTCCTGTCGATCCATTCTGGGCTGTCGGATGGGCAGGTGGAGACTTCAGGTTACGAGTTCCTTCCCGCCCCAGGACAGAACTATTGCTGGGGACACTTCCTTTCAGGAGCCTAGCGCGTCCCACAATTGATGCTTCTGGTCTTATGTGCCCAGTGAAAAAAATCACACACACACACAACAACAACACAACAACAACCCCAAAACACAACAACAAAAACCATCTACAATCATTTGGTTTTCACCAACACCTAGTTCTGTTTCTGAGCCCTCTGGGCTACGAGTTCAAGCAGCGTAGTTGCTCCGTCCTAGATCGGAAAGACTTTGGGTAAGAAACGAAAAGTTGGGTTTGGGTTAGGAAGTGAGCCAAAGACAGGAAGTGGAACAGACCAGAATCGGAAGCCTGACCCTGCTGGAGAATATTTATTTTTATTTTTTTAATCCTCACCCGAGGACATTTTCTCATTTTTTTGTTCAGGTAGAGTGGGAGGGAGAGAGAGAGAGAGAAACATCAACATGAAAGGGACACATCGAGTGGCTGCCACCCACACGATCCAACCAGTGCTGGGGACAAACTGCAACCGAGGTACGTGCCCTTAGCGGGAACCGAACCCGGGTCTCTCAGGACCGCAGGTCGATGCTCTAACCGCTGAGCCAAACCGGCCAGGGCTGCTGGAGAATATTATATCTCTTCTCCCAGATTCCAGCTCCTCATCTGAATGTGACAGTGATGTTCACTGTCTCCCAGGGTTTGTGTAAGAGCGAACGGAGGTAAGGCAGGGAAGTATTTATCACAGAGGTCAGCCCAGAGTGGGAATGAACAGATGGCATATACAAGCAAGTCATATTAATGCATATATGTGAGATTTGCCATCAGAATCACAATTCCTCTTCCCACTTAGTCCCGGGACCTCACCCCGTTTACTGGTAATATTTATAAACACAGAGTAAGACTTATTTATCAATTGCATTGGAATAGTAATGGGTAAATGGAAAACCCACTTAGTTGCCCAGGGATTTTTCTGTAGCTGACCAACCACAGAGCCTTGTCCTCCAAGCAACTCACTTGTGTGAGGAGACTGTGACTGCAAAGCCAAATACTTGTGAAAAATACCTTTCCCACTATTTTGACCTTGGACATTCAAGGGAAGCTGGTGGGATTATACGTTCAGATGGTTCATTGAACTGACCCCTTGTGCTTGGTGTGCGTGATTCACGGTTCCCGAACTTAGGGGACCTTTCAGAAGGGTCCAGCTTCCTTGACTCTTTTACAGGAGATTCTTACTCAGTAAACTTGGGGTTGAGCCTCTGTCTTTGCCCACACTTTCCAGATGATTCTTGCCCACAATTTCCAGGTTTATTTAGTTTTGAGACTACAGGTAAGGGCTGTTGAGCCCCACCCCCCTTTTTTAATCCTCACCTGAATATATTTTTTCATTTATCTTCAGACAGAGTGGGAGAGAGGGAGAGAGAAAGAGAGAGAAACATTGATGTGAGGGAGACACATCAACGGGTTGCCTCTTGCACGACCCTGACCAGGGCCGGGGACCAAACTGCAACTGAGGTACGTGCACTTGATCAGAATCAAACCCATGACTCTTTAGTCCTTGGGCCGACGCTCTAACCACTGAGCAACACCAGCAAGGGGGAACCCATTGCCCCGCTCTGCCTCTGATGTAATCATTTTGCAAGGGCAGGGGCTATGATGAATAATACCTCAAAAGCTCTTGCTTGTGAGCAAGAAAGCAACCTCCAGTTACTACAAGTTGATTTTCCTTCTGTTTCAAATATATCCTTGTGCCAATCCAGAAACAGAAAAATATTTTTATTATCCAAATCAAAACACAGCATGAGGCACTTTCCAATAAAATCAACCGTAGATTATACACGAGTCAAAATCATCTGCCTGTTTACTGAGTTCAAAATCCTTCTAGGCACCAGGAAAAAAATAAGTATAATTTAAGATTTTAATCTTCCCATATATTACAGGGTTCCTGTAATGGATTTTGTGCATCTGAAACGGAAAGATTGACAGCCAGGGCAGTATAGATTTGTTAACTGTTGGTTACACGGTCAGAGTCAGTGTGGAAAGCGATCTAGTACAGCCTGTGCTGGACAAGAATGAACCGTCCTACAGAGCTCGAGGTACCCAAGAGTTAAGATTCCACTCAAGAAGCGAAAGTTGCATCTTCTGTCACAATGATCCTTTTCTACGTGGAAACATTTCTCACTGAACACAAATATATGATGTTGAACTCAAACAGAGAAATGACAAAATGCTGGGAAACACGGAAGAAACCTTAAAAAATCGACTGCCCCGGTCCCGTGGTAGGCAGCTTTATCACTGTGGAAATGGGGGTCTTGGGACCCAGCAAATGTTGGAGAAGATACATTTTTAAAAAATGAGTAGTTATAGGGAAAAATGATTCTCTGCAAATACTGCCACTACCTAAAGAATATAATAAAGCAGATAATGCCAATTATATAAATTACCTCATTAAAATGTCCTAACAACCTTATATGTAGGTACTATCATTTTCTCTATTTTACAGATGAGGGTGACAGATCGAGAGAAAAATGGCTGTTTGAGGTCCACTGATAGGTGACGTTACTGGAATATGAATCCTGGTGTTTTCACTTATCCTCACGTTAGTTGTCTTGAAAGAAAGAGGTTTCCAAACCCTTACTACGTGTGACGTCGTGAGACCAGCAATGGCCGTTGATGCGTGTGATGCTGTTAAATGACAGGCCATGGGTCAGCCATGGCACCTTCTAGGCACGTTGTTCTTTGAGAGTTTGGCTGGTAGAAGACCCTGGTCTGAGCCTGAGAAACCGCCCATCAATAGGGCGAGTCTGGTGTCAGACGGGCTCTGTTCTGCCTCGTCTTACCTTGTGGCACAGAAACAGGATGGACCATGAACACACCAAGGAGCATGTGCTAAACTGTCGCAAGATAGTGATGCTATTCCGGAAACGGAGAAATCCGGTCCATTGAAAGAAAGAACAGACTTCAAGAATACTGTGCACCCCAAACTCAGATAAGAATTAGAGTACTTCAGGCCTAATTAGTGTGACTCAGGGGTTGAGCCTTGACCCATGCAGCAAGAGGTCACCGGTTCGATTCCAGTCAGGGCACATGCCCAGGTTGTGGGCTTGATCCCCAGTGGGGGCATGCAGGAGGCGGCCAATCGATGTTCTCTCGCATCGATGTTTCTCTCTCTCTCCCTTCCTCTCTCTCTAAAATCAATAAATAAAAAATAATTACAGTACTCAGGACACGTACTGGAACTCCTGGCTATTCCTTTGTGTTCTGTTGAATTTAATGTGTGGATATTTATTTCAAAACAAAGGTGGATGAAATCATTCATATTTCATATCTTAGCGCAACTTAAATGTTTTTCTTATAAAGCTCTTAGATTTTCTCCTGCGATTTTGATGAAAAGAAAAACACAACAGACCCTTTTGTCTTTAATCTTAGATGATGACATCAGAAGGGTGTTGGTTCATGAGAATGAAAGTTTTTTATATTAAGCTTTAGGTTATCTTCACAACTATATTACCTGTGTTGATTGAGATCACTGTTCAATTCAGTGAAAAATACATCTTTGTTAGCTACTTTATGGAATGCATTCAATAAGGGCCAAATTGCTGTTAACCAATTATTTTCAGTTCCATATTGAACTGCAAACTTATTCTGACAGGGAAAATAGGAGTTTGCTTTAACTTTATGTGTCAACTTCAGCTTAAGAGTCAATGTTAAAAATAAAAGCACGTTATGTTTGAAGTGTATGGAACCCATGAATCAATGATACTCTTACTGAAACCAAACCTCCATAGGTCCCTTATATTAAAAGAGCAGGCAGATTTCCCTCCAGTCCTTACTGCACTGTGTCGATGCAATTAGGGTTTTACCCGAGGATGATGCTGACATCAAAACAGAATGCACCAAACCCCCGGAGCAACCCACCAGGGACGAACTGGCTGGATGGGGGCTCTGGGCTTACAGGATAATTCAGCTCCCATGACGGGTCACCACCCGAGGTGTATGGGTGAAGTGGGCTATCATCTCCCTGAACCCCCTTCTTACTGCTATGACGGAGAAGGAATCCAATAACGCCAATGATCCATTCTAGGGAGTCCTGCAGAAATGACTGTCCGATGTAATTCAGAACGATATACTTTAGCTTAGACATATATGAAGAAGAAGACATTTTTAGGTTCTGGTACTTGGAAAAAAAGTATTGTTTCATAGAATAACATATATCTGTGTATCTATCTGTACATCTTTATCTACATCAATCTATCTACCAATCAATCAATCAATCAATCATACACTGACGCATGCATACATGCAAAAGTATGGTTTGGATTATTTTACTTATATTATCCAGGAAATAGATGATTTCCTTCTGATTGACCAAAGTCACATATCCATCCCAATCCCAATGAATTTTCTCTAAAATGTTTTGCACACACACATACACTTTATCTCTTTACCTGGTGGCGTCCAAGCTACGAATATGGAGCAAGGGCCCATGACTGTGATATTACATGGAGGCTGGATTTCTCCCGGTGTCCACAGAGGTGTTCGTACCAGGTACTCGTCACTAAAACTACTCCCACCTCCAGTTGTGGCTTCCAACTTGTAAACGTACCTGTATTGGGGGAAAAATTGTCCTAAGGCAAGGCACAAGATAACTGAACAACGGTGGCTGCTTTTTCTACCCCTACTTCCTCCTAAACTTGTGACAACATGCGAGTCTTTGCTCTGGCTTCAGAAACTGCACCCTCAACATGGTCATTTGTCCAGTACGAGCAGCACTGTCCCCAGATCATCACTGTTTCTGTCCCTCCCCATGTTATTCTTCACCCTCTAGCAATCCATTGCTTTTCTTCAAGATTTCAGGGAAGGCTTGGAGCGTGCTGGTACTCTGTGGAGGATTCCAATTAATCTTCCCCATTCTTAAATGGGTTAGAGTTCAGAGAAATATGTTTAGAGGAAGATGTTTCTAAATTGATCTGCTATTCTCTACAATAAAACTAAATTGATCTTTATTCTCTGCAATAAAACAGCTGTTGATCTGAAAGATATTTTATCTCTGCTGAGAAATGAACGGGAATGAACTGCAAATAGGTGGCACTGTTTTTCCCTAAAACCACTCAGGTCCATACACAGCGCGGCAAGCAGAGGAAACATTACACCAAAGAAAAGGTAGTTGATGAAAAACAACACTCTTTAATTTTTTTTTCATTGCTAGTTTAGGAAGGCATGTTTTTGAAGATAAGATCATTTTTCAAGTTGAATACTTTGTGTATTTTATATACAAAATTCTCATGCTTTTAAGTCATCTAGAAGATTTTAAAATGTTATTGACTTTTTTTTAGAGAGAGAGGAAGTGAGAGGGAGAGAGAGAAACATTGATGCAAGCTAAGCATTGATGGGCTGCCTCCTGCATGCCCCCTACTGGGGATCAAGCCCCAAAACTCAGGCAAGTGCCCTGACCAGGAACTGAACCGGCAAACTTGCGGTGACCAGGATGACGCCCACCAACTGAGCCACACTGGCCAGGGCCATCTAGAAGATTTTTAAGCAATTTCATGTATTCTGAAGAGGAACATAATGAGTTAGCACTTGGGTCTTTGACAGCTGAAGTGGATGAAATGATCTCATCAGCTATTCAATGAGATGAATGAATTAATTTAATGTTGTTTCAGGAAGAGACATACACTTTTCACCCCTGAAAAATCTAAAAATGTAACAGTAATATCAGTCAAGTTTGCTTCTAGTTTACCTGCTGTTGGGCTCCAGGTTCTTATCAGTGAAATGCTGTTCCTCACGGCCCCCCAGGAAAACCGAGGTTCCGTTACGACTGAGCTGATACCGAGAAATGAGGCCATTGGGCTTTGCCGGCGGACTCCAGTATAACTCCACCGTTGTAGAGTTGATGATAATATGGTGAGGTGTCACCCAAACTCCTGGCAAAAACAACACGATGAGGTTTCAGTGTTAGGGTACAATAAACACCTTCTCAAAAATCCCAGCACCACCCCACATACTATGATACTTTCATCTTTTGATTAAAAAAAAAAATCTGATGGTGAGTGACCAAAACACATTTTTTATTTACTTTGGAGGGGAAATGCCTAATTAGGGGCACACGTATCTTTTTATTGCTTTGGTTATAGCCTTTAAGAAGTGAATGTCATCCAAGCAGGGCTCGGAAATTTCTCATCTTGGCTGTTACTCTGAATGTAATCGAGACCTGATGAAAGTCATATAACCTGGTGTTTACCTGAATTATCCAATTCGCCAGATAAGCATCCTTTCTCTGCCTCTCGGAGAAAGAAACACCATGTGCTCTTTCTTTTGGTCCTTTCTCTCGGCCATTCCTTCTGGCCCTACTGGGTCCCTTCCCCTACTGGACCTCGAAGTGGCCTAGTCCTCAGGGATGGAGTGGTCTCCTCTCCTCTTCCCTCTTTCCCTCTCCTCTTCTTTTCCAAAACTCACCATCTTGGTGGTCTCCGTTTAGTCTGTTTGCAGTATCATCTACATGTTGAACACTCCCAAATGCCCATCACTCAACTAAAACCCTCTCCTGAGCTCCAGACTCATGAATCTGTCTACTTGACAAATCCACTTGGATGACTAATTATACGCAGAAAACTTAAAGCATCCAAAACAGAACCCTTGATGTTCCTGTCCACAATCTGTTCATTTCCCGATCGTGTTCATCTATCCATACTATGGAGCAAAAAAATTACCCTGAGACTTCCACTTTTCTCACCCCAAAAGCAATCTGTCATCAAGTCCTGCAGTTTCTACCCTGGACACATATTGTTCTCTGTATCTTTACTGCCGTATTTCATCGTAATCTTTAGAGAAGTGCACGCTATATATACGCATGCCAATGCAATCTTTATAAAATATACAACCCTTTAAAGTTATTCACATAATTTCAACTCCTCATGATATGGCCTGTGTGGCCCTACGTTTTTCTGCCTCTGGCCAATCTGGTACCCTTCTCTCCATCCACATCAGATGCTTCTCTATCCCCAGAACGTTTCAAAGTCTTTTCCCCTCTGGCTTTTAGCCCGTCCACTCCCTCTGCCTAGAACCCTCTTGCTCACGACACTCTGATATTTTTGCATTTGATTTTCACATTTCAATAGTGTGTGTAAACATCCCCTTATCAGGGAGGTCTATTTGCCCACCCTTCCCCAACTCTAACTTGAACCCTATAAAAGGATCACATCCTAGTTTCCCTCCACCAAAAGCCTGTTTCTATGTCCTTCTCAACACTCCTAACATCATATTCCCCTTCTTTCCTTGATAGTGTCATTATTTGCATGTTGTTATGACTGCAAATCTCCTTCTTTCTACTGTGTCAGTACATGATTAGCTCCAGGGGGGCAGGGATCTTTGTTGTCTTATTTATCAGTCTTTGTAGCTAGCACAATGCCTGATACATGTTGACGGAACACATTGGTTGGAACTACATCTCCTGTCAATCACTATGTTAAGCACGCCAGGTAGTTCCATCAATTAAAAGATGACTTAGAGGTGGCTCATTCCTTCAAGGGGTCTACCATTCTGTATAAAGGATAAAAGATGTACACAAATAACTGTAACTCAAGGGCAAATGTTCAAGGACTTTTATAACTGTACAAACATATTGGTGGAGAACCTAATGATGAGAGAGCTCAATGTACCGCCCATGCTGTCACCTAGGTGTGTTCTGAGCGTTCAGCTTTTCTTTAGCTTTTAAAAACTCATTTCGATATTAGGTTCCCTTAGTGAATAGTTTTTCTTTGATTTCCTCTCCTGTGTAAGTTACTCAGTTAAGGGTAAGATCCGGAAGCTTTTAAAGAAAAAAAATTCAGGAAATTCAAATGCAATTTCTTTAGCAGCATCCGAAAAGAATCAAGGTCGATTTCAAAATGGCTCAAAGTTCAGGATTTGCTAAGGAACAACTCGTTCCTGAGAAGAAAGTAGTTCATTTTGTTCTGAGAGCTTACTCTATGTTAGATACTTAGACAAATCCACAAATCACAGTGTACATTTTTTTTCCTGAGTTTTTCTGCCAACATCCACTAGATGATTCAACCCACTAATTAGAATTCTGACTTAAACATGATGTTAATTTGTTGATTTAAGAGAAAGTACATAAATATATTCACAACCTTCTTCTTGCTTTCAAGTCTTTCTCGCCTTGAAGGATGTGTTAAAAATCATCAAGATATGAAAAAAGATTTCTTAGTTTCCAGTCTGAACTAGTCAGTACAGCCTGTGGATGTGGAGGAGTTAATGAAATAAAATGAAGCAACATTGGCCTGACCAGTTTGGCTCAGTGGTAAGAGTGTCCACCCATGGACCCAAGGGTCGCAAGTTTGATTTCCAGTCAAGGACACATACCTTGGTTGCAGGTTTAATCCCTGACCCCAGTCAGGGTCATGTGGGAGGCAACCAGTTGTCTCTCTCACATCAATGTTTCTCTCTCTCCCTTCCACTCTCGCTAAAAAAAAAAAAGATCAATGGAAAAATATCCTTCAGTGAGGATTAACACCACCACCGCCAAAAAAAAAAAAAAAAAAAAATGAAGCAACATTTGGGTTTGCTTCATGTTTTAAGTTCAACTTGAGTTTCAGATGTGTATCAACTCTGTTGAGGTTGGTAACGAGCCTGCGTCCATTGGTTTCATTTACCAAAGGAAACTGAAGTGAGAAAAACCAAGCGCTCTTGTTTACTTGTGTGATGATCTGAAGACTGTATCTGGGCAGCAACGGGGAAAAGAAGGGAGAAGAGGAGGAATCCGGAATGAAATGGAGAAGGTCGGATTTCTCCCTCTCTTTTCGCATGGTCTGTGCTGGAGGACGGCGTGCCCTCGACACCACATGGTTGAACTCCAAAGCGAGTGAGAACTTGCTGGTGTGACGGCCACTCCGAAACAGACAGTAACAACCCGGACATCCTGCTATGTGACGAAAGGACCACAGTTTTCTATGAGGGTGAAATTGTAGAGAATACTGTCCGACTGATCGATGAGGTCATAATATATATGATCTTGTTTTCTTTTTTAGCTTGAAAATGAGAGAGAAATGAGCCCAGCTGGTGTGGCTCTGTGGTGGAGCACTGACCCATGTACCAAGAAGTCACTGGTTTGATTCCCGGTCAGGGCACAAGCCCAGGTTGTGGGCCAAATCCCCAGTGGGGGGCATGCAGGAGGCAGCCAATCGATGTTCTCTCTCATCGATGTTCCCACCTCTCTCTCTAAAATCAATAAAGAAAAAATATTTGAGCAGTGCGAAGTGCACAGTGTGGCTCCAGACAAATGCTTCTTTTATTGCTCTACATATTCACTTAGGACACTCAGATTTTAGGACTTCAATCTACATATCATTCACTCAAAGAGGCATTTCATAATTAGCGCTGCTTGGGTTGATTCACGATGATCTATTGGTTTTCACTTTACAGTACTACAGAACTTAACGTCACTGGTAGCTGGTTTCCTCACCACCCTCCAGTTAAACACACCGACTACATTTGTTTCACGTACAAGTTATTCACAAATGGCGCTTATGCAGCCAGAAAATGGGTTCTAAATCCATGTTTTTTCTGTGGAGGAAAGCCCATTTAGTTTATGACTGCTTTACACAGTTATTTGTGTTCAAGGAGAGGTGCATAAAGTCTAGAAAAAGGGAAATCAAGGATAACATTTCTCATCTCACACTCCCTTGCGCTGTTGAAAGCTGTAATTTTTAAGTCATGAAATCGCGGTCCTTTCAAGAAATTCTGTTGGGTTTGTGGGAAAATAGACACTTATTTCCTAAGAATTTAAATGTATGGATTTCATGAGCAAACTGGAGGGAGAGACCCTGTTATTTTATCAGGCTTGAGTTTCAGCCAAAAGTGGCTGGTAGATCCTTTAGAAATGATCCATTATCCTCAAAGTATCCATTTGATAGTTTACCTTTCCAAAAAATCCACTGCTGGTTTCTTCCTTTCAAAGGAACACTAAGCTTTTTGACATGAAGCATTCTTTATATAGAAAACATCATTAGTGAATTCCTGGGGAGGACCCATATGTCTCTATGTGGAATTTTCCATTTTATTCCCCATTTACTGGTAGGAAGTTCAGGTCGAATATTCTGAGGTACAACAATCCCTTTCATTAGCAGAGTAATGGACAAGTGGTTCTGCGATGCTAGTTAACATTCTGTTTCTGTTTAGAAACTTATTTATGCCTCTACCTTTCCACATGCAAAATAGACAGGTAATAAAGATTAAAAATAATAATAATTCATTGATCACTAGCCTAAGCTTCTGAGCATGTTTTTCTCCTAAAAGTAAAATGATACCACCCATCCCACAGGTAACCACTGTTATCAGATGGGTGTGTATGCTCCCAAAATTTTTTTCTAAGCAGTTATTTATCTATGGAAATAAACATCATTTTCTATGTGTGTTTTTTATACATAAAAATAACATACATTAATGTAGTTCTATAACCTCCTCTTTATATGTACGGATCATCTCTTTTTTTAAACTGATGCATACAATTACACAATGTGAATATACGTGAATTTATTTAGTAATTCCCCTACTCAGGGGCATTTAATTTGCTTCCAAAATTTTGCTTTTAGATAAACAAAATATGATTCAGTGCACACCCTGGTACATGCCTCCTTGTGTAGAAGGGGGAGATTTATTTCTGGCATGGATAATTAAAATGAAACTGCGGTGTCAGGGGGGACTCACATTTAAAAATGAATAGATACTGTCAATTGGCCTTCTAAAGTGATGATCTCATTTTGTATTCCCCCGAGCCATGTTTGAACATCTCCTCTATTGTTCATTTGTCAAAACCTTATTCCTCCTGGTCCATCTCAGAAGTCAACTAACTGGTGCACAAAATCCTTCTGGATGTCAGGATGGGTTGTACTCCTTCCCTCCACAGATTAACCTGAGCATTCTGTGCAGTTGTTCTTTCTGAACATCACCTTTTGAATCCTCCTTCTTCCCACTGAACTTGGTTGCAAGTTCTAGAGGATATTTTAGTCAACTTCAGCAGTGAGCATGGCGCTTAACTACATCAGGCATTGCAGAGATATTTACCTTCTGATTTTTGGAGGAATTTCACATCCAAGTATACAATCATAGTAACCTTTATGTAACAATAAACCTGAAAAGTTTAAAGAATGGAAAGCACACTGCAACTTGGGAGGCTTATCGATGAACCAAACCTGAAAATGAAAACCTAGACTATTCTTTTTCTTTCGTATCTATTGACTTTATGCCTCCTTCCTTGTTTGTTACACAAGAGTCGAGAGAGTTTACTTAGAAATGCCATAGAAAAACTCCTGCTCCCAAATCCTGGGTATTTTAATTACCTTGAGGTGCTGCCTGCAGAGTGTGACCTAGAAAAGGCTCACTTGAAGTGCACCCAGCAGATGTACACGCTGTAAGAGTGAAGCTGTAGTTGGTGTATGGCTGGAGACCTAGAAAGAGCAAACAGGAAATAAAATTCATCCGGAGAGGATTATTTATTGTCAACTCAGCACCAGAAGTAGCAGGCAGCGGTGTCGATACGATACCCCAAAAATGTCTAAGAGCAGAAAACACCCGCTAGTGAGGACAGGAACTTCACAAGCTGTTCCGGATGAGTGGAAATTTCATTCATCACCAATGAAATAACAAATCCGCGGCCTTAGAAGAGATCTCAACATCCTTGGAATCCATCCATCCATCTTTCTCTTGAGCCCCCTGAACAAGATGTCATTGAAGAGCCTGCCCCGTCCAGGCGACAGGAACACTCCACACCCCAAAGAGCCCGCCCCACATTTAGAGAGCTCTCGAGTTCTTGTTTTGTTTGAAAGTCCTTCCTTCCATTGTGGTGAACTCTTTTGATCACTTCTACCCCTAGGGACATACAGAATAAATCTAATTTCCTTTCCACACGACAGTTCTTCAAATATTTGTAGACAGTTATCAAATTCCCCTTGAGTCTTCTGTTCTCCAGCCGAACCATCCTGGTTTCTGGAATTGCTTCTTATATGAATAGGTGTGGGGAAAAAATAAAAAAAGGATGCTAGATTCAGTGTTCTTTAGCCTCCAGCTAACATTAACACCAACTAACCTTCCCCTCCTTTGCAAAACTTTGCATTTCACCACACGTGCTCGTAGTTGAAGATCTCACACTTACTTCTGTAGTTTTTCAGGGGGAACGTTGGCTTTGCCTTTACACATACATTAAACATCATTTGATGAGGGGACAGTGCTTATTACTTTTTTGTATTTAGAATGATACACCACAGTAGCTGCTCAATAAGATCTCTGGGGGAAAACGATGCTCCATTTACAACAGACGTTCTTTGTTGTTAAACTTTCCTACTTCCTGGCTGGTGACCCTGGAAACGTTACTTAGCTTCTCTTTACTTTGATCTACTGATCTGTAAAATGGGAAATCTAGCACCTGCCTCCTAAGGCTACTGAGAAGATGAAGTGAATTATGTGAATGGCACTCTCTTGGCACAAACAACCTTAAGACTCACCGGGTTTCAGCAAGGAGTATATTGAGGCTAACATGTCTTGCCTTGATTCTTGGGAAAATCCAAACAATGCCAAAGTTCATAAAAAAAAACTTTTTTTAAGAATAGAACTTATTATCTAGTATGTCTAATAATTGGGCTTAGTTATAACATGCATTCAATGATCACTACTCTTTCCTGAACTTTGAACTACATTTGCACACACTGTGTTCCTTCCGTGGGATGACTTTCCCTCCAGAGACATTCATGTACCACTCTGTCCCTATCTGCAGATTTCTGTCCAAATGCTCCATCTTTAAAGGTGTTGACCCCTCTACCTACACTCTCCACCCAACACTTTTTATTCCCTCAAATTGCTATCTTCCTCCCTCGCCTTCAACAAGATCTGGTATTTTATTACATCTGTTGATTCCCTGTTTGTCAGCCCCCTTGTAATGTGAGCTCTGGAAGAACAAGGGCATTGGTTTACCCACCACTGCATCCTTTGAAGAGGGACAGTCACAAGGTAGTGCTTCCTAAACCAATGAAAAAATTAACTAAGTGGTCCATTGAGAATCCGAGCAGTGGTCCGGGTTCTCTGCTAAAGCAACTCTCTTCTGGAGCTGGAGCTGGTCCAGGGTTTCGCTTCAAAGCCCCTTGCGTTTCCTTATCAGCGTAATGACGAGATACAGATACTTATTTGATTGTAATCTTCCTTTTGGTTGCAATGGAGGATTTATACAATTTCTGTTAGTTACCTGATTTACAGATGAGGAATATGATGCAAGATCCATGTCATGCCCAAGCCATGCATGTTTGATAAAAGCTTATGGGAAAATGTTAAAGATGATAAAATAAAGAGCTCAGAACAAAATGGAAGGAAACATCCAAGAAGGAAGGTCAGAGACTGCAGTAGAAAACTGATTTAGCCTCATGATGTCCCCCATTTACTGCCACTACTGAAAAAGGGGGGTCTTGACTCTTGTAACACCATGTCATCTGAATATCTTACTTCTCACTTAGCATGTAAGCAGTTTGAGGGTAAGAAGGGTATCTTGAGTTTTTCTAAATCATTTATTCCCCAGTAGTGCCTATTTTATTTATTTAAAAAAATTTTATAATTGATTTTAGAGAGAGAGGAAGGAAGAGGAAGAGAGAGATGGAAACATCCATGAGAGAGAACATTGATTGGCCGCCTCCTGCACGCCCCCCACTGGGGATCAGGCCCACAACCTGGGCATGTGCCCTGGCTGCGAATCAAACTGGCGACCTCTTGGTGCAGGGGTTGACGCTCAACCACTGAGCCACACCGGCCGGGCCTTAGTAGTACCTGTTTTAAAATGTTCATTACTTGTGAAATAATGCTTAAAGTACACCAAGCACACAGAAGTGCTCCATGACCATGTCAGGGTTGTGAGACAATGACTCATGACGTCCAACACAAGAGTGATTTGAGCAAACGGGTCCTTCCTCATAATTTCATCCGCATCCCGGCCTTCAGCATCTGCTCACTAGCACTTTCTTCTCTAGCTGCAGAAAATAATCACAAAAACTAACATCATTTGGGAACAATACACAGTCTCTAAGGTGTTTTTTTTTCCTGTCGGACAGAACCATGGCTGCTGAAAGTGAAGTAATAGATGTTAATGAGACTTCAGTCGTCGTCATCATCATCATCATCATCATCATCATCACCTCAGGTGTTTTTGTTGTTGTTCTACTTTTACTCCTCTTGTCACTGGATTCCATATTCTAATTGAACATATTTTATGAGAAATGCAGTTCTTTTCAAGGAAGTTGATGATTAGATCACATACATAACATTGTAGCTAAAGTTTACTGACTACTTAGTAGTTGCAGACCTGTACACTTCCCGGGTCATAACAGCACAACCGAGGTCCTCACTAACTCTACTAGGGGCTGCCATCACCTGCTCATTGGACAGATAAGGAGGCTGAGGCGTCTAGACTTAGAAGAATGCACCTATGATCACAGAGATAAGAAAGAGTGGGTTTAGGCTAGAAATCTGAACAGTTGGGCTGAGATATACGGTCCGGAGCAGTTGGGGCAGGCAGTTTGAGCCTCAGAAGAAAAATGATAACATCCATAGCTCAAAGTCCAGTGAAACTTTCAGCAACATAAAAAAAAAAAAAAAAATCCAGTGGGGATTTTATGTTTTAAATACGACCATGTTGAATATGACTGCAGTTCATGTCCTGAGTCAGTGCTGCGTAGCCGTTAAGAGAACAGAGTCTGAAGTTAGACTCTTTGAATTCTCACTCTTACCCCTCTGGTAACGATCACCCTGGGCGAGTGGTCTGACCTCAAGGTGCCTCAGTTTCCGTATCTGTAAACTGTGGGCATCACAGTGTAGACTTCTTACAAGGGTTGCAGACTAATTTGAGAGAAGACAGTATCTGAATCCATGATTGTCTACAGTCTCCTTTTCAGGTCCTGAGTTCTCTCATGTTGCTGCGGGATAAGGTTATGAACGGGCTCGGTTCAAGTCCTCTGTAAGGAGAGTATCCGCTGCCATCAGCCATAGATGAGTCACCGGCACCGATGACCGTCCACATAGACGACTCGGCAAAACTCAATAATATCAACACATTTCTACTGGAATCTGCTGTCATTGGAAGGAAGTCTCTATCGGCTGTCCTTAACGTGCGATAGATATGAAACATTAGCAACAGGCAATGACGAGGGCCCGCAGATTGAAAAGGACTCGGGAATTGATCAGGACGAGAAGAGGGAAACAGATGTCTCCAAGGGACCCTTCTGACTGTAACTGAATCTCGAAGTCAAAGAGGAGGAGAAAAGAAAACATCACTCAAGTGCTCAGCACCAAATGAAAAGAGGAGACGGCTGCTGCCGAGTAGGGAAAAGGCAAATGTGTGAAGAAGAGCCAAGTATTTAACATTTCAGTATCGTGACGATCACTGTGTCTGCAAATTACCCGAATTTCCCTATAGGGGATCATGTTCTTTCTCTTTTAAGGAAAGAGGCATATTATAACCAAACTCATTACAATTACACTTCCAAGTAACATTATTTTCAAGAGCAAATGTGTGCTAAAGGACCACAAGAAGTCTGCCTATGGATCATAAAAATATGATTTGGAAAACAAAACCCCTATCTATGGAAGTTACATGTGATATACTCCCTAGGGAACCGCTTGTTTCTAAATTTTCATCTCCAGATAAATAGCCAGGAAGAGGCAATGTGTCTTTTATAATTTTGGATCACCAATGTTTCCTCAAAGCACTCATCCCGTCATCCTGCTATGTCACCTGTTACAGTCTAAAGAATTACCACTAAAGAGCCCTAAAGAATATATAAACCCCCAAGTTCCCCCAATCGATGTGGTTAGTGATTAAGTCACATGTGAGAGGCCTGGGTGACTGTAAAGAGATTTTGTCAGGGGGTCATCAGTAGGGTACGCCCGGTGGATAAATAACCTGTCTTAGGTAACTGGATGTTGGCTCAGCCCACCTGACCCACACACGCCAGTCCGGGTGCTGGGAAGCCCTTCCTTTCGCCCTGATCTACCTCGTGATCCCATTAAGGGATCCTGCTCAGAGCACCTCTGCTCATGGGGATTCGCAGGAACCTCCACCGTTACGGGCAGCCTTGGCTGTGAGGGGTCGCACTGTATCAGGAACCCCCGTTAGGTTAACCAGATCCCACGGGGAAATGTGTATGTTCAAGACTGATGCACCGAGACCTCATAACATTGCCCCAGAGGTCCATTCACATCACGATGTGTTTTACAAAATGTGAGCAAGATTTCAGGGGTTCACATGCTCCAGCCCCGTTTTCTTGGTAGTCTCATCCATCCGTCTCTGCAGCTCCCCATCCCACTCGGTCAAGCCCATTTCTTGCCTCCTGGTGAACGGCCCTGGTCACTGTCCATTTCCTGTACCGAGGCTCCAAAGTGTGGGTTCAGTTGGCGTCTCAGATGAACCGGACTT